CTTACTAATCCTCTTAATTTGAACAAATCAAAAATTGGTTTGAGAATAATAATGATTAAACTGAATGAAAGAAAATTATAAAAGGAACATAATGCAACAACTAAAGGATGGGTTAAAAATCGATAATGGAACTATAGCTAGGTCAACTTCACCTTCGATTCACCTTAAATGATCTAATTCAATTCATCAATATTTATCCTAATTGTTTCAAATAATTCATCGTCTAAGAATTAATTGGTTACATCCTAATGTCTTAGCTCTTTAATCCTTTAACCCAATTGAAATCCTAATGTCTTAGTAATTTCTTTTAAATTAAGCCTTAAGCGCGATGAATTACATAAGTTTGCAATTCTTACAAGCCTATATCTAGATCATGCAAGAATTGGTGTTCTACCCCTGTCAAGGCTAAGATCCAAATATTCTATTGTGAGCCTTAACCCTCTTTATTCCTATATGATTCATCAAGTTATACAAGAATTTAAACATGCAATTTGAGGTAAACACAAATAATTAGAGACAATTTATTAATGAAAAGAATTGAATTAAACAAGAATTCACGTCGGATCTATATCTCTAAGACTCTAACTACAAAGAAGAAATTAGTCAGTCATAATTGGATCAAACAAAATAAATTACGAAAAGGAAATTAGATGAAAGGTTGAAGGAGGAATGTTGGTCGATCTCCATAGTTGCTTCGATCTTCCTTCACTCCACTTGATATCTGAATTATCTTAATTCTCTGGTCTTACCGTTTTTCAATTGTGTAGAAGTCATTTTGGTCTCCAGCAGTTTCTTTTTCATATTGAATAACAAGTATCTTTTTAAATCTCGCAAGGGCTTAAATGAAATAATCAATCAAATCTTCATTAAAATCACGTCCTTGATCAGATATCACATCACTTGAATCTTACTAGCATGTTAGTGATAGTAGCGCCACCTTGGCGCTACTAGCGTGGGAAGAGATTTGGCTCTTGATGCATTAACGCTCCTAATGTGGAGATGAAGCTTTTGGCTCGAGTAAACAGAGGTGCCTATGATCTTGGAGCTAAGTGCATCACTGCCAGGCTACTAGCATGGAGAAGCAGTAAAAATTATGACAATGGCACCCTTACTTCCATTTTACTAGTGTGGAGAACTTTAAATGCTGTCAGTTGGGGCTAGAGACTTGGACTTGCTCTTTTCTTGTCTCTTTCTTTCTGTTGAGCTATCCAACTTGGTCTTCTTTCGCTGAGCTAAATTTCCTACAGAAATACAAGAATTTCATGAAAGTACTCTTGAGGGTAAATTAACAATTTAATTACAATTCTAATATCTTTTGATTAATTATATCTCAATTAAATGCTCGATTTGACGCTTAATACATATATATTGGAAACACATGAATGTTTTACAATCCGCCTAATCCATTTTTGTTTTAATTTTATTTTAACTTTTACATTACACCTTTCAAAAGCGGGAAGAGGTGGACTGAAATTTTCAACCCACTTTCAAAAGTAGGCGAGGTAGGTTAGCTTATTTTTTGGCGAGATAAAATTGTATTCACATTGGTTAAGTGAAACTTCACACATAAACTGCATACTAATTAAATTTAGGGTTAGTGTTTCTCATATTGTAAAAGATGATTTCATCTCCTACATAAAGTGTGTAAGGCCCATGTTTTCTTTTTTCACTCTTCTCTTCACATGGCCTCACATGGGATTTAGACATATTTATGTGTGTATAGAAGATAAAATTATTTTTTATAACATGAAAAACATTAATCCGTTAAATTTAAGTAGGGGATCTTCCACAATTACGTATAGAATGTCAAAATCATGAAATATTAGATAACCAAGCTTATTTTTTTGGGACTTACATAGAAAAGGATCTAAAATCTAAGCATTATTGAATACAAAGAATATTTTAAAGGATTTTGCTTATACCAGCTGGAGCGTAGAAGGGTTCCAGCCTTGCAACCCTAGGATTGAGAAAAAGTTTGTTGGATACGAGTAATGTAACGAAATAAAAAAATCAGGGTGGTATAAATGCTTAAGAGCTTGCATGCTTAGGCTTTCCTTAGTGCTTCCCTATTTAAAATTGTTTCTAAATATATTACTATATAAAATTATATAAAAATGAGTATATGACAGCACATCAAAGCTATTTTTTCCTGTTAAAAGTCATTTACAATCAAATTCGCAATTGTATTTATTTGTGGACTTGTTTCAATCCGGTAAATGCATAAGGTTATTCAAATGGAGAATAATCAATAATGTTAATCGTACATTTACAAACATGTAATAGTTTCTATTATTTTATTTTCTGCACACTTAAACGATTTTATCATATATTCTTTAAGCGAAGGGATATGATCTAAGAAGATATAGTATTTACAAAAGTGCCACACTCGCACTTATATATTTTCAGGATAAATCTATCCTTTCAACTAAAAGTGTTCCATTTGTAAAGAGCATGTATTCCTTCAAAATCAAAAGGATAAAATTATACTTAAAATGGAAGCATTTTGTGTCATATAATGTGGACATCTAGTATACGCATTGAATATCATTTCTTAATAATGACTGAATCTCATGTTATTATATTAATAAAAGAAGTAATTGTCAAGTCACAATTACAATTAGTTTTCATAGATAATTAGATAGATTAATTTTTAACAAAATTATTGATTCAAAAACTTGTCAATTTCTTCTTCTTCATGATTTGGTGATTCTAATCCTAGCACTATTTGTAAGGATGAAGATAATATGATTCACTATCTCTTTTTTTTTGGTGAACAAAAGGGGCCTAGCCCCTGCAACAAACAAGAAAAGAAATACAATCAAAAACCAATCCTACTAAAGTTCCCTATAGCAGAAGCATTAAAATTCAGATCAAGTGGGGATAAAAAGACAAATAAAGGAATCTGAAACTGATTTTCCAAAGACAATATTTTAAATAGGAATATGATTCACTATCTTTAAGTAGGAACTTTGCCTTGGGGTTTCACATAAGTCTAAACTAATATTTTAAAAATTAGACCAAACTGGGCATGCGGTTAAACTGATTAGATTATACTCTGGTTATTATTTTAATTTGCATATTATTAAATTAAATTAGATATTAATTATGGTTTGTATACAAATTTATTTAATTTAACCTATCAGATCATAAGTCAAAAGTTTCGCCGGTTTTATTCCGTTGGAGAACATTGGTCTTTTAAGATAAAATTGAATCATGTTTCATATATCTCAAGGCTAAAAATTTGAGTTTAATTCTCATTAAATACATTTTTGCACAGGGATGAGAAATTTTACCAATGATTAAATTTTGACTTGAGATTAGTTTCATAACCAGTTCAAAAAATTGAAGCTTATAAAGAACACCGACTCGCTTTAAAAAAATAATTAGGGTGAATATAAAAAAATAAATAAAAAATACTTAGCTTGACAATTGAGGTGCTTTTCTAACATGTATTAGCCCATAACTTAGATAAGGATGTCATTAATAAATCTTTCAATTCACACCCCTATTCCCATGCTAAAGAAAGAAAGAAAAAGAAACGATCCACCAGCAGGCTCCAGTTAGGTTTCAGTTCAGCAATAAATGCTATTGACTGATCAAAGTAATTAACGGCATGCCGAAGTTCAGTTTGAGGGAGAACATTATATGTATGGGGCCATGTTCAATTGCTTTCTAACAGAGACAGGTGCGAGAAAGCCACACTAAATAGAATAAGCATATTGTGGGCACAATCTAAGTATAAAAATTGAAACGACATTAAAATAAAAGATTAATGTTTTGGAGAGGGATCTTTTGACTTGAGTAAGACTTACAACTCTTACTCTTCATCTCAACCGTTGATTTTCGTCCATCTAACGGTTATTATTTATTTGAAATAAATAAATAAATAATTGTTATAGATAACCGTTAGATAGACAGAAATCAACGGTTGAGATGAGAAGTAAGAATTGTAAGTCTTACTCTAGAGTTAAAAGATCCCTCCCCTAATATTTTTTATGTTATACGAGATAAAATTATCTTCTATATATATATAAAAATATGTGAAGTCTGTATAAAATTATATGAAGACAAGATAAAAGAAAATTAAATTACACATATTTTAATGTATGTGTACTAGATAATTTCACGAGAAAAACTAAACCCTTAGAATAAACCAACTAAAAGTGCGAAAGAGGAGGGGTCGGAGCAGAGTCGTGTTTTTAATGCTTAGGGGTCCCAATTTATTGAAAAATTTATCAATATCCATTTGCATAACATAATAAACAGGACCATCTGTCTCAGGAGTGTCAGGAGACCCAGCCACAATGACTCATACAGAGCAAATATATATATATATATATATATAGGATCAAGCAAATATATTTTAAGACTTAATCTCAAATGGCGTTACGGGAAATTTTATGGCCTTTTTTAACCCCTGTCTTCTACTTTTCCATCATCCCAACGTGGGAACAAAACTCAATTAAGTATATTATTAGAATTTAGAAAAGAAACGTCCATTATCTCGGACCTTTTTTTTTTTTAATACACATTATCTTGGACCTTTGTCACTTGTAAAGGAATTTTTTTGGGCAACCCGTCTTTTGGCATCTTTTAATGAATTACCAAATATGTATATCGACTTTGAATAATTATTTAAACTTCAGTGCATAGAACTAATAATTAACAAAACATTTCAAATAGAAAAGCATTTAAGAACTAATCACGGTTTATGAGCATATGTATAATAGTGGTAGTTTTCATTAATTTTTTTTTTGTATACAAGTTTTCATTAATTTTTAATATTGAATGTTATGCCTTTTTTTTTCTTCAAAAATGGTCTAGTTACTAGAACTTCCTAATTAAACTTGTATTTAAACCAATAACATCTCTAACGATTCCTTCTTACAACGATTTACATTACTCATCACAAATTATCCGAAACAAAGTAAATTAATTAACATTAAAGTTATAAAACAAAACTAAAAAAAAAAAAAAAAAAAAGAGCAAGAGAAGAAAGATCAGAATTGAAGATTAATTCTAATGGGTGGTTCTTGGATCAAAATCTCAGGAAACGAAGAATCAAACTTGAGAGAAGCTCTGCAAAGAGGACAACTCGAGTGATTCGCTAGCCACTTATCAACGCACTCGCAATGGAAGCAATGTTCACATCCAGGCAAAACCTTCAACTTCTCGCCATCACTGAACGCGCTCAAGCAGATGCAACACTCCGTTTCCTCCAATGCGCGATTCGGACCCGACGCCGCCGTATGGTGCAAGATAATCGGCAGTTTCTTTATCGTCTCGGCGTCGAGCCCCTGCGGTGGCAGATGTGGCGGCGCGTGGTGCGGTTGGATTGAGCCGAACGTGGTTGGGAGAAGGCCGTGGTAGCGGCAGATCCAGCGAGCGCAGAGGAAGAGAGCGAAGAAGATGAGGATAATGGAGAAGAGAACGATGATGAAGAAGAGTTTGCGGCCTCGGATTCCAAGGTTCTGGTCGTCCAGCTCTGTGTCGTAGTGCCAATTAAATACCTGAGCGTCCTGGTTCGACATGTAGGGCGATGAGGCGGCGGCGGTTTGCGGCGGAGAACTACGACGGCGAGTTTTGTCGCCGTACAGTGTGAACAGTAAGCAGGCTCTGCTTTTTGAGGGAGTGCTGCTCTGAGTCTCTGACTACTGAGAGAATGAGGGAAACGACGAAACTAACATTATTTATAGTTACGTTTGGTGATTATGCATACTGGCAGCCTTAGCGCGTGGTAAATGATAATCATAACATTTTAGTTCATTTTTTTAGATTTTCATTTTATAAGTGTTAATTTAGTTTGTTTATTAAATACATATTTATAATAAGAAGTGAGATTAAATACATTCTTAAGAAAACAAGTTTAATGTATTTTCCTTAAATATAAATTAAATAGTCAGGCGACTTAAGTAGTAAGCAAACTCAAATTAAACGATTGAAGAGCATTTGTATTACTAGATGTCTGAGTTCACACAAACGTATTGTTTTATTGTTTTATTAGAAGAAACAACTTTCAGTAGGGTTTGGTTAATTTTTTATTTTCATTTTTAACTAATATTTTTGGCTTGGAATTATAAAAGTACTACTTTATTTAATATTATTTTGTATTTTTAAGATATTGTGAAAAATATGATAATTTTTTTTTATAAATTCTTCAAAATAAAATATAAAGTAATAATACATTTTTTTTAAACCATTAATAAACATATATTAACTAAAATAAAACAAAAATAACTAAACAACACCTAAAGAGTGTGGTGGACACACGAAATAAAAGCAAGAAAAATTTAATATATTTTAATAAAAAGGTAAATTAGGCTTCAAATTATAAATAGCGTGTGCAATAAAAATTATCTAAAATCAAGGCATCAGAATTTACCCTATCCTTTTGTTGTCATTATAATATAAAACGAGAAAATTGTACGAATTTTTTTAATAAATTAATTTTACCAACCTTAATTATTTATTCACTGTCATTATTAACTAAATTTTTAAACTATTGCTAATTAAATATTTTTTAAATAATATTGTGACCCTTAGCGCAAGTTTGATTGAAGATTCTTTTATAAGTCTCAATATATTTACAAAACTTAAACTCAGATATATACTATTAGTCCAATTATCAAATGAAGATTTAGTTAAAATTACTGTTTTGTATTATATTTGGAAAACTAACCACACTTTTACGGAAAAAAAAGTTTAAACTTTAAAGAAAACAAATATTAGAATGGCTTCTAAGTCACCGTAGTACCAAATAAGTTAGTTTCACTGCAAGACCCATAAAAATATACGGGTAAAAAGAGCATGTGAATGTGATGAAGGCTCTTTTTTAATAGTCTATTTTGATCAACGCTCTTAATTACCAATTTTACGCTTTCTTGTTTATACGAAAATTTTGAATTATTTTTTCAATTTGTGATCAATTGAATACAAATTGAAAGTAAAAAATACAGTTAGTGTCTCAGAAAAATATCACGTGGCAAACTATATTCGCTACACTTGCCAGTGAGTTTGGAATCGTGATTATTTGACAAATTTTTTCAACCCCTAATATTCAGATAAATTTTATTGAAAACGTGGCACATTGATAAAGTCCCCCGTAAAGCCTACAAGAGAACATAAATACGAGAAAGGCGGGTGGGTTTATTAAATCATCTATTGACAACACATCAATTTAGTAATTATCGGTATCAACATAAGTTACGAATAGAGTGAGGTTTCTTCCTTGAAAAATTAAGAATAACTAACTTACATCAAGATTAACTTCATATTCAAAAAAACACTGTCAGACAAAGCAGTATCGTTGTTGGATAATTACTTGCTCAGATGTGTTAATTAATGAAAGAAATAGTTACGATAATTCAGTTTACATTAGGGGATTGAGTAGATAGGATAAAAATATATATTTGATTTTCTCCAATATTATTTTTTTAAAAAAATTAAAATTTATATCGTGTGATTCACTGCAAATTAAACTAATCACGAACCATGAATCGAAATATAAAAAAATAAAAAAGGAAAGGAATAGTTGCTTTCAATTTGCAGCCGGCCCGGCTGTTCGGGTGAACGTGTGATGTGTCCTATCTTCCAACTTGTATTCTATTACACGCGCGAGTATTTATCCACAACCAATGAGTAATCATTACATTCCCACTGTTAATAACCAATTAACTTTGTTCAAACTAAATCTTCAACTTTATCTAGATCTAAATAGAAAATAACGTCCGAATTCACATTTGTAGTAGATAAGATTAATTTGTTCAATTTTTACCGCCTCTTCACGTTACCCGTTTAAATTGGACTCTGGGAAATCTTATCGTTCCTATATGGTTGTATTTACAGAATAAAAAAATCATTGGTAGGAAATCTAGGCAAAAATATATACATTAGGGAAAAATATTGTTATTTTAATAAATAATTATGAAAACATAATATTTGGAATCAACTTATGGATTTATTGCACTAGTCGCGCCTCAGATAGCACACAGGCTCAACTTATGCAAAGATGCACCTCACATAGACGCGACTCATCTGGTAATGACATGCGGTATAAAAAATTAACAATTTGACTGTAAAATTTATGAATGCCATAACTTTTGACTCGTGTGTCCAAATGAGATATTTTTTTATTTCATATAACTTTTCGATATCTACACAATGATACCTTATTTGACATATTTTATCTCTCGAAAACACAGTTCAAATTTGCAACAATGATGCCACAAGAACGTTTAAACTCGTAAGCCTATATGTTCTTTCTGAACCAACACCATAAGTTGTAACATAGGTCATCGATTTCAAACCCTAGTTTTCTCACGATTAACTTATGAACCAACGGTTCTTTCAGCAACAAAATCAGTACTATAAGACGTTCCGTAAGAAAAAACATTGTTATTCTTTATTGTCTATGCGCGTTGATGGAGAGGAAACTACTATTATAATTAGAAACATTCTTAGCAAATATCCTTACAATTATGGTATCATTATTGCAAATTCATACTATATTTATTGGAGACAAAACTTCAACTTAAATATCATCATTCACACTTATAAATATACAATGTGCCAAACAGGGCATAAAGAAGTATTTTTTGGAAGGAAAAAAATTAATCAAATCTTTTCTTGATATCTGAGTTAAAAGTTACAATCTTCCAAAATTTTACTATTTATCTTTTTGTGCTACGTGTCATCACCAGATGAGTTATGTCTGTGTGGAGTGCGTCCTTGCACAAGTGGCGCATGTTCGATAAATTGCGTCTACATAAAATGTAACTGTATATAATAGATCCGTAAATTTATTATAAATTATTATAATTTTGTAATTACTTATTAAAAAACAATATTTTAATTTTTTAACCGGAAATCTATCTATTAGTGGTACCCAAAGTTGAACGCTTCAACCCACTTATTTATATACACACATATGCATCTGTAATTTTTTGCTTGTCCCGTACGTGATTCGGTCCATTAGGACTTGGTCATTAACACTCTGTGGATAGCTTATCCGTACTAATGTCGGAGACTCAACCGTTTTACTGGATGTACGTATTTACACCAATGGATTTAATGTTGCGTCAAGCACTCACTTTTTCTGCCCCACACGTTATTTTGGACTTAGGAAGACTGAATAAAATACTGGATACTATATTAGACGTAATATTTTAGCCGGTACTGCCACGGAAAAGCTACCGACAAAGACATTTTTCAATTTTCGGAACAAAAATTACCAAACACCAAAAAGCAAGCATTGATTTGCTTGACTAAGGAAGGAATTAGTGAGAAAGAAAAGTTATTGTATATTCATGTGATAAGAGAAATTATTGTATGTTTTTTTTTTTTTTTTTAATGGGTAATAAAATGATGGAAAATATATTTTTCATGTTACATGAAATAATTTTATCTTATATTATACACAATAGTGTGTGAGATTCATTTTCCCCCTCTCTTTTATTTAGTGGGTCTCACTCTCTCACCTACATTTTTGTGTATTGTATGAGATAAATTATTTTATGTAACATGAGAAATATATTCCTCTAAAATGATAGAGATATTTGAATTCACATAAAAACATTCATGAGAAGAAGTAGCATCTCAAACAATAATTATTTCACATTCAATTATTTATGTTATTGCGTAAAATTTCATGAAATCAGGAAATTTGCATAATTAATTGAGATGAGATTAGTGTTTAAAAACTCGGCTCGACCATCGTCTCGGTCGAGGTAAGTGGTTACAAGGTTAACTGGGGGGTTATGGGGTCATTTTGCTAACCCAATTTTATACATTAAAAAAATATAAATATATATCCTATATGAAAAATTCAAGCAACCAATTATCAAAGATTCAAAATATACTTAACATAAATCAACCAATTATATCCACAAGCTAATGAAAGTATCAAATATCAAAGTATAAAACAAATATTCTAATGAAGTTAATAAAAAGTTAGATAATCAAACTCAGGTCCTCATTGTCCTTCTCACGCACCTATGGCGCGACAGATCGATGGCGGGGAGAGAAGAACTAGCAAGGCAAAGGAGAGGGAGAGAGAAGACCGAAGATGATAGGAGGAACCACCACCCCGATGGAGGATATCATTAGATCAGGAAGACTGAGTCTGGATCTGAGAGAGAAGATCGGAAGAGAAGAAGAAGAACGATTCAAATTTCATATCTATTTTTAGATCTAGGCATTAGTGAGTTTTGTTTTGTTTTGTTTTTTTACACACCAAATAAAGTCTTTTCATGTGCAAATATTTTTTTAATAAAAATACAATGATTTTCTCTGACTCAGAAGTCATAAGTTAATTAAATCAGGGGTTTATGGAGTAAGAGAAGTTAACATGCATGTAAAGTTTAATTGCTTACTTCAATCCTAAAAAAAAAAAAAGGAGATTAGTGACCCGACAGAATTGATTTCGGGGTGGACGAGATTTTACAACACTTGATGAGATATTTGTCAGAATAACAAAAATTTGATTTCGTTGAGTAACCGGCCCAAAGTCTAATTTAAAGGTTCGCGGTTTTAG